GTCTGTGTTTATTGGTCTTGGAGTTTGCTGTGTTCTGCTTGATTGGTGTTTCTAATACCTGTCTGTTTTTTGGCTCCTTTTGTATCTTGATTGGCTGGCAACATTGTGTTACTTTATTGGAGGCCTTTAGTGCAGCTTGGCTCCGGGTAAATGGACGGCTATCATTAGTTAGGAAGCTAGGTTTCATCTGGGTGCCTGGTTGGGGTGTGTTTGAGCTGGAGGTATCAGGGGGGATCTGTTTGGGCCCAGGTGTTTGCCTGGCTTGTTGTGTGGAGATTTTTTTGTTTGTGAGTGCAGGCTTCCAAATAATTGACAGTCTGGTGGAATCATCTCTTCTATTCATGCTTTCAGGTCTTTTTTCAACCTCTATGGCTTCTCTGATGATTCTGTGGCTGGGTTTTCTATAGTGGCTAGGGTTTGGGTGCCATTGAAGTCGATGCTATGACCTGTTGCTTTCATGTGTTGGACTAGTGAGGAAGTGTGTTCCCGCTTTTTTACTGCATTTTTGTGTTCATCCAGGCGGGTACTTATTCTTCTATTGGTCTGTCCAATGTATGTGGCCGGGCATGATGCACAGGGGACTTCGTATATGCCTTGGTTTTCCAGGTCAATTTTATCTTTGGGGTTTCTAAGGATGGCTGCTATTTTTTTGTCTGTTTTGAAGGCAGTCTTGATGTGATGTCTGTTTAGTATCTTACTAATTTTGTCTGTAGTACCTCTTATGTAGGGCAGGACAGCTGTTCCATAGATCTGTTCATCTTCTGGGTCTCCATTATGTCTCAGTGTGTTTTTGTGGATCAAGCCGGTGATTTTGCTTTTGTGGAAGCCATTGGCTGTTAGTACTTTAGTCAGGATGCATAGTTCAGTCTTAATGTGTGTCTTGTCTGCCAGGCGTTTGGTTCTAGTAATTAGTGTTTTAGCCACAGAGTTTATCTGTGCTGAGTGGTGGTGGGATTGGGCGTTGAGGTAGCGGTTAGTGTGTGTTTTCTTCTGGTATACGGTGTGTCCTAGTGTGCCATCTGTTTTTTTGTAGATTAGTACATCTAGGAATGGTAGTTGTTTGTTTGTTTCCATTTCCATGGTGAACTTGATTTTGGGGTGTGTGCTGTTTAGGTGTGTTAGGAAATTGTTTAGGTTTTCTTTTCCATGGGGCCAAATCACAAATGTGTCATCGATGTATCTTAACCATAGTTTGGGTTTGTGGATGGCATTGGCCAGGGCTCTGGATTCGAATTCTTCCATGAACAGGTTTGCAATGATGGGTGACAGTGGTGATCCCATAGGGGCTCCTTCAATTTGTTTGTATCTTTGTCCTTTGTATAGGAAATATGTGTTGGTTAAGCAGTGTTCTGTTAGTTCCATGAGGTGTTTAGCTGGTTGGTATTTATTTTTTGATGATTTCAAGGGTCTCTTTTATTGGGACTTGAGTGAATAGTGAAAGCACGTCGAAACTTACAAGCAGATCTTCTTGCTCCACATGTAGATCTTTGATCATTTCCAGGAAGTGGTATGAGTTTTGTACATGTGAAGCTGCTGTTTCAGCATGGGGCTGTAGCTGTTTTGCTAAGTGTTTAGCTAGGTTTTGCAGTGGTGCTCCTCTGGAGCTGACTATGGGTCTGAGAAGTATGCCTTCTTTGTGTATTTTTGGGAGGCTGTATAGTTTGGGGTATCTGGAAGATTTTTCTCTTGGGATGATCGTCTGTTGGATCTCTTTGCTCATGTGGCTGGTTATAATTTTCTTCTTGGTTAATTTTTCCAGATATGTGGTTGGGTCGGTGTTTATGGGTTTGTATGTGGGGTCTTGGAGTAGGTCTGTCAATTTTGTTTCATAATCTTTTCTGTCCATTACTACTGTGGCATTCCCTTTGTCTGCTGGAAGTATGATTATGCTGCTATCTCTTTTCAGGGTTTGTAGTGCTTTAATTTCTTCTTTCTGCAAGTTGCTTTTGGGTGGTTTGCTTGTGCATAGGATGTTGGTAACTTGGTGTCTTATTCTATCAGCTTCATCTGTATTTAATTTGGTTAGGCTGGATTCTACTGCACATATGATGGATTCTGTGGGGATTTTTTGGGGTGCTATAGCATAATTGAATCCTTTGGTTAGGACCTCTGTTTCTGTTTTGGTGAGTTCTCTGTTGGAAACGTTGTATACTAATTGTTTCAGGTGTTGTTGTGAGTTGTTGGGGGTTTTCTTGTCATGTTCTAATTTCTTTAATTTTTTCAAGAGTTTATCATTTTTGTAAGTGGTTTCAGATTCAACTCTCCAAGTTGTAAGTTGTTTTATCTTGTCCCAAAGTAGAGGGTGGATTTTGCTGCTCAATTCCAGGTGTAGTACTAGCAAATCTTTGTTTAACTGATCTAATTGGAATCTCTTGCTGTGGAGCTCGTTCCTTAGTAGAGCCATTTCAGTTCTTTTCAGGATACATTTAGTGGCTGCTGTGCTTTGATGAAATCTTAATTTGAAGCAGGTTGGTGTTGTATTATTGTCTCTGCAGCTGTGTAGGAATTGGAGGTCACATAGTATTCCTGTTCTTTTAATTTCCAGTTTCTCGTAGGTTTTGATCTGGCTGTTTATTTCCTCCCCGTAGAGGTTTGATATTTGTTTTCTTAAGTTTTCGCGGGTACTTACATGTATGGTATTCAGCTTTGTTCAGGTATTTTCCCACATCATTATAGTTGTGCTTTTAAAGTTGTAGCAACGTTTTGGCAGAATCTCATCTACCATCATCTGGCTTCTGTATTGTGTTCATCTGTGACTCAGACTTTCACAGCCATTTCTGTTTTAAATTTGGGACAAGCCTATGCTGTGCCAGAATGGTTTTTTCTTCATCCTTATTGGTTGGGAGTCTTGGTCTGTGTTTATTGATCTTGGAGTTTGCTGTGTTCTGCTTGATTGGTGTTTCTAATATCTTCTGTCTGTTTTGTAGCTTTTTTTGTCCTGATTGGTTGGCAACATTGTGTTCCTGTATTGGAGACTTTTAGTGTGGCTTGGCTCCGAGTAAATGGATGGCTATCATTTATTAGGAAGCTAGGTTTCATCTGGGTGCCTGGCTGGTGTGTATTTGAGCTGGAGGTATCGGGGGGATCTGTTTGTGCCCAGGTGTTTGCCTGGCTTGTTGTGTGGAGATTTTTTTTTTGTGAGTGCAGGCTTCCAAATAATTGACAGTCTGGTGGAATCATCTCTTCTATTCATGCTTTCAGGTCTTTTTTCAACCTCTATGGCTTGTCTGATAATTCTGTAGCTGGGGTTTTCTATAGTGGCTGGGATTTTGGTGCCATTGAAGTTGATGCTATGACCTGTTGCTTTCATGTTTTCTTAAGTTTTCATGGGTATTGACATGTATGGTATTCAGCTTTGTTTGGGTATTTTCCCATGTCATTGTAGTTGTGCTTTTAAAGTTGTAGCAACATTTCATCAGAATCTCATCTGCCATCATCAGGCTTCTGTATTGTGTTCGTCGGTGAGTCAGACTAATCGGTGAGTCAAACTAATCTGACTCACAGACGAACACAATACAGAAGCCTGATGATGGCAGATGAGATTCTGCCGAAACGTTGCTACAACTTTAAAAGCACAACTACAATGACGTGGGAAAATACCCGAACAAAGCTGAATGCCACACACACACACACACACACACACACACACATACACATAGTGGCAAAAGTAATATTAAAAAGGGGATAAAATATTCGATAATATAAAGATTAATAATATAAGATTAATTTGTGAAGAACTAATGGAATGATATGATTTGATAAAATTTGCAAATATAATGAATATAAGAATATATGATGAATGAATATAGAGAATGATTAAGAATAAAGAGATCGATATAAACAATGTATGAGAATATAAAAAGGAAAATTGGAAATAGGTAATGATGTGAAATTAGACAAGAAAGCTGTATCTGTGATTATGGTCATGTTTGATTTAAAATGTAAAAAGCCTGGAACCATACTGTTCACCTAAAGATGTATTTAAAGAAATAAAAATAAAAAAAATATTTGGAAAAAGACTATCTGTATTCCAGAGTCTACACAAAAAGGGATGTTTCTGCAACTAGTATATGCCATTGTAATTACAGCTAAAATCTGAAATGCTCTATTTAGTCAAAAAACATAGATGCCTGGTTTCCATAGATCACATTGTCACCTGATTATTTTTAAAATTTCTCCTGTCTCCCTACCTTTGGAATTTGCTTTCTATTTTTGACAGAATGCCAGCAGCCCCCTAATACAAAATTTTAGTCTTTATTTCCTTATTCAATAACTTAACCCACTAGTAGCTGTTGCAAGTTAAATTGTTAATAAAAGTTCTACCTTTGACAATGGGTCTTAAGGAAATCTTTTTCTTTTCCAATGGAAATTTTCAGAAAATAGTAATTATAGGTATAAAATATTGCAAAAAACAAGGAAAACTTTTTTTTGAGTTGTAATACTATTGCATGATTAACTGTATGAATGAGTATTTGAGAATCTCTGCTTCTTTCTTGTCACAAATTAGAAAATTCTGATCTTAATGCAGAATAAGCAACTTATTCATGGTACAATCAATATTACTAGATTTCCCCTCAGTCTATTTAATTCAAATCGATTTGAAGGCACTTGATTTAATTTGATATGCTGAAACAAGTAGATAATTCAATTTAAAAGTATTAGCTTATTTCATCCTCTTCAATCAAAATCAAAACTCTGCTTGGTTACATTGTTTAATTATTATATTTCATCTTGCTGATCCATTCAGGCAAACAGGGTAATGAACTACAGTTAATACCTATCCTTCCAATCCATTTTCTAAATAAAATAATTGTTAAACTCTTATACTAATATCAGTATATTCCATTATTTCCTAATCCACTATGCTTAATCTTACTACTGTTTCTTATATTCATTTAAACCTTATTTAATAATTGAAAATAATTTTAGTTCTATCTTTTGAGACAGTACAAATAAGTAGCTGCAATATTTATTTAAAAACATACCTCACAAAATAGTGTATCTTGTATATGCCAGATTTTAAAATTCATAGGATACTTGAGAACAGAAGCATTATATCCTGAATAGTAAGCTATTGTCTTGATGAATTCCTGAAAAGATATAAGAACAGCATCCTTAAAAGGCAAAGCAACACACCAAGATACATACTCAGTTGTGATATGATGTACAGGACTACAAGGATTGTATACAAGTATGTTCAAATCAGATTATAGTCATTGGAATTAAATAATCTAATCACATGCAATTTTGTGTTCTCTAAACAGTCTTGTCCAACAGAATGCCTTTCAGCTGAGTTGATCTTCAACTCTCATAATACTCAACCAAAAGCAAGTCAAATCTGGAATTATGCAACTGCAAGGCTAAGGTATCTGGATGGTATTAGGTTGGAAAAGCCTGCTGTAGTCCAGCATTATTGCCTATGTTATATGTTTAAAGTTGACATATGAATAATCATTGTCCTCTTTTCTAAGTAAAGTTTAAAGCATTGTTTAAGAATGTAACTGGTTCTGAATCTATGTAATCTATGTAAGATCTATGTAATCTATCTGTTTCAGACAAATAGAGAGCAGTGCCTCACAACAGACACTTATGAATTTTGGGCATGAAAGCAAAGATTGGTATAGCATATATACATTTCAATAAAATATTTCCTGTTAGTCATTTTTAGTAGCCTATTGAAGGGTATAGAAGGTCCACTATCTGGTTGTACAAGGTAGGGTGAGGCACATGTGTAAAATCAAGCTAGGGCAGTGGTGGTGGGTGGAGCTACCCCACATGACCCGCACCTGCTTAGTTTAAGACTGCTGCAGCCAGGCTTCCATGCCCTGACACCTGTTGTGCTGCTGCCTAATTTCTTCTGTGACCTATGTGGTGCTATGTGGTGCATTGCAGCAGTGCTGCCACTCGCAGCCAGACATCATGTAGAATGTTGTGCCGGTGCCACTGTTCATGGCAGGACACCACAACGCACATTGTGCCGGTGCTGCCATGTGGTACATTATGCTGGTGCCAACAAGTGCAACATAATGCCATGAGGCTCATTGCACTGGTGCCCATGCATGGCATGCTGTGCCAGTGCCAATGTGTGGCACATTGTGCTTGCGGCACGGTGTTGCCACTCATGGCAGGACATGCTGCAAGTGGGGGCACTGCTTTGATGAGCCATGTGGCATTTGTTTGTGAGCAGCCACAAGAAGTTGGGCAACAGCACGACAGGTGTTAGGGCACGGGAGGCCTGACTGCGGTGATCCTAAGGTAATGGGTAGAAAATATGACCTGGTGCTTATTTTGGGGCCCAAAAGAAAATGAGACAGGGCCTTATTTGGGGGAACACAGTAGTATTTTAAGACAATCCTCATCCTTATAACTCTCTAGTTTATGTTACCTCATATAGTCTAATTTTTTTCTGGAATTCATTTGATGCTACGGTTTTCTTCAAAAGCTCTATGTAGCGTGGACATTGAAAAATTGGATAGCGTGATGTCTGAAATAAAACAATGAGACTGTTATATTGCTGTTATTAATTTTTCTTCATATTTAAGATTTTTCCTGAAAATTCTTTGCATTGGTATTTCCTATATTATTATTAACATGCTCTTTTTTGAATTATTTTTTATTTTTTTATTTTATAAAACATCTCTTTTGGTGAACAATGTGATTCCAGGTTTTTACATTTCAATACAAACATGACCATATTTACATATTCATCTTTCATATTCAATTTCATATTGTATTATTATTTATTCCATTTTCCTTTAAATATTCTCAAATATTCTTATATTCATTACACTAATCCAATTCCCATTCATATTGTAGCTTATTTTATTTTTCTTTAGATATTCTCATGTCTTGTTTTACAATATTATCTAAAATTCTTATTTCATTTCTATATTCATTACACATATTTACTTTTATCTGTCACATTTGCAAGTTTATCACATACTATTATTCCACTCATTGTTCAATAGGTTTCATCAATTCTAATAATCCAAAATTGTCCCCTTTAATTGTCAATTCGAGCTTGCCACCCCTTATACACTCCCCCAATTTATTCCCTTTAATTCATTATAAAAAATTACCATAGTATAGTCATTTTTTAATTATCACGTTCTACATTAATAACAATAATCTCCTAACTACTACTTATCACTTATGCATATATATCTTTTAAGTCAGATTCCACATGGTATTCTTTTTCTCATTACATTCTAAATCATCTATTGATTTCAAAAATATTAATCTATTCAATTAATTTTAAAAACTGATAATAGTCTTTCCATTACAATTCTTGTAACACATTTTAACTTTATTCATCGCCTTATTAAATATCAATTAATATTCTTAAAATAAATCCCCATTTCCATATCTATTTCAGTTAAATCTATATCTGATTTAACAATAATCCTTAAAGAAAAATATCAATTCTAATCTTTTCTATTTTTAAATCTATATTCTTATATATCACATTACATTGCAGAATCCCCCTTCCTGTTCTTCTATCCATTGTCTCTCATCCTCCTGACTATACGATTTCTTTTCATTTTGTTTGCTTTCTGTTTCCCATCATTTTCTGGTCCTTTCTCTTAATTTCCCTTTTTCCCTTTATTATTTCCCTCCATGTCTTATTCCAATTATTTATTTTGTCCCCCTCCGTCTCTCGATCTTTCTTTTGTAATTTCCTCTTCTGCTGTTTCCTTTTCCTTTGTTTAGAGGAATTACTGAGTCTATAATCTGCACCTATATAACTGTCTGGTTTGGTTCTGCAACCCAACAGGACAGACACAGACTTCAGAGGATAATTAGGACTGCAGAAAAAACAATTACTACCAACCTGCTTCAGTCAAGGACCTGAATATTGCACGAATCAAAAAGAGGGCTATGAAAATATTTACAGACCCCTCACATCCCGGACATAAACTGTTTCAACTCCTTCCCTCAAAACGATACTATAGAGCACCGCACATCAGAACAACTAGACACAGGAACAGTTTTTTTCTAAATGCCATCACTCTGCTAAACAAATAATTCCCTCAACACTATCCAACTATTTACAAAGTCTGCACTACTATTACTATTAATCTTCTCATCACTCCTTATCACCCATCCCCTCCCACTTGTGACTGTATGACTGTAACTTTGTCACTTGCATCCTTATTGACTGTTTCCTAGTATGATTTGATTGCTTATGACTATTTATTTACTTATTTATTTACTTATTACTATTATTAAGTGTTGTACTTTATGATTCTTGACTCTTGATGAATGTATCTTTTCTTTTATGTATACTGAGAGCACTTGCACCAAGAAAAATTCCCTGTGTGTCCAATCACACTTGGCCAATAAAGAATTCTAATTCTAATTCTAACTTTCCAAACAATTCCCCCTTTAATTATCATATCGAATCTCAATTTTTTCGCTTTTTAATATTCATTGTTCCACTTATTTTTTAGAGCTGGTTTCCTCTTTAACTTCTCCTCCTCCTCTGATTCTCTTTGTTCTTCTTTAGTCTGTATCACCATTTCTAGTTTTTGTAGTACAATACTGTACACTTCCAAGCTTTCTTTCATCATTTTCTTCATGTTTTGTAATTCCAATCTTATTTCCACACATAATTTTCCCATTTTGTACACTTCTTTTTTTCCCTTCTTTAATATTTATATCCAATCCAATTATCCAGTAGTTTATTTCAACCAGCATCTTTTGTATTTAATTTCAACAATCAGTGTCCATAAATATTTGTTTCCAGGTTCCTTCTGTTGATTTCTTTTCCAACTTTTCCCCAAAGTCACCAAACAATCCCAGGGCAATTCCTTCACATATCTTTTTCCCCCTTGTAGTATTCTGGTATTTCACTTTTCAGGGTTTTTATTTTATTATAGTGGAATTCCTCTTATTTCATTTCAAATTCTAATTTTAAAAAGACCAAGCACTTTTCAATTTTTTTTTTACCATTAGGTGACACTGTCAGTTCTGTTTGCACGTTCCACCCTTTCTTTTAGCTTTTCCCCCTTTTAAAGGTTTTATTAATTTTGCTAATTTCAATTGTTAGTTATTATTTCTTTTTAACACGTTCAATTCCAGCATTTATTTATGCCTATTTAGTGCCAAAATCCAGACAATTATCCAGTTTAATTTCCAAGTCTTTTATAATGTTTTCCTTTGAATTTTCCACTTTCAAATTAATTTGTCAGTGTTCCAGCAAACGTCCATTCCAATCAGTAACTCTGAGCCAAACATATCTCAAAAGTACCTTTATTAGAATAGCACCTGGCACATCTGTGGAAACCCCAATCTAAATATTTTTTTGACCCTCCACAATTTCTAAACCTACAAATCCATCCCCCCTTGGATGTCATCATCACATCACATGGCCCAATCATGATCTGTCCAAAAGTAAGATCCTTATTTCATCCTGCGCCATTCTAAATGACCTTGAATTAACAAAGAATTTTATTTTGTCTACTTAAAGCTACTTAATTGAAATCACCCCCTTCCACTCTCTCAGGCTATGTGAAAGCATGGAATATGGCTTCCAAAGCTGACAGGTGTCCCCCCCTTGAAAAATTTGCCTCCTAAAAGAGATAATAAAGAAATTACAACCAGGGGTTAATGCAATGCCCTTAACCCCCTTTCCCCTCCCCCCAGGTTTGGTTTGGTTTATCAGGTAATTCATTATGGAATTGGTTAACCAATCTATCTGCATGTACATCCCAGGTTTTTACCCAAGTAGCATTTGACAAAGGGTAACCTTTCCATAATACCAAATATTGTAATCTCCCTCGGTGCAAGCTAAAATCAAGGATTTTCTTGATTTTATAATGTGTCTCATCCTGTATGATTAAAGGTTTTGGGGGAGCTGTTGGTATCGGCCTTAGATTTGATCCTACAGCTGGTTTCAATAAACTACTATGAAATACTAGGTGTATTTTCCCCAATAGCTGGGGGAGACTTAATTGGACTGTGACTGGATTGATTATTTTTTATATAGGGAATAGACCTAAGAATTTAGGGTCCAACTTCCTAATGGGAAGTTTCAATCTGAGATATTTAGTTGACAAAAACATTTTGTCCCCTACTTTAAATAGTGGTTGGAGAGATCTGTTTTGTCAGCCTGTTTTTATATTCCTCAGCAGCTTCAGTCAAAGCTTTTTTTTTAAATCCTCCCAACCGTTCTTTAATGAGTCCATCCATTCCATTAAAGACATAGATGTTGGGAGTTCCGTAGGTAATTCTGGCATAGAGACAAATTCCATGCCAGTGTTGATTTGGAATGGAGTCAAGCCTATGCTGCTATGTACTGCATTATTATAAGCAACTTCTGCAAATGGCAACAGCTCTGCCCAGTTCTCCTGTTGATAATTTACATAGCATCTAATGTATTGTTCCACCGTGGTGTTCGCTCCCTCTTCTGCCCTGTTGCATACAGGATGGAATGCTGAGGAAAGCCCTTGAGATAAGCCAATGGACTTCAAAAACTCCCTCCAGAACTTAGCGGTAAACTATCCATCTCGGTCTGAGATTACTGTCAGCCTCAAGATCTCTTCGGGTACCCCAACTGCTATCCATCTCCTTTATTTCTCCCTTAGTATCTCTACTGCTAGGCTTACTTCTTTCGGCTGTCATTAGCAATGGGGGGAGGGGTAATTGTGGGGGGGAAGAGAGCTGGAGGTGTTTTGCATTCCTTTACTGTGGGCAGAAGAAGGGGGGGTTTTCTTCTTTCCAACTTTCCATTTCCTTGCTAGCCTCTATCCTTTTTGCGCAGCTGCGAAGTCTTATCAAAATATGTCAAGGTCAACGGACAGAGGCCTCATCACCACCTGAAGATGCTCACATGATCATATTCAGAACTTTTAATTGGAAGAGACTTCTGGACTTCAGGGGATGAGAACAATTCCATTTCTTTGTATGTGTGATCTGCGCGCCAAATTCTCACTTTCGGAATTCCATTTGTAGCTTCCTTTTCATCTTCCAGTAAAAGAAGAACTTTGCTCTGAACCATGGAGTCTGAGTATTTCTTTCTTGGATTTTGAAAGAAGCACACATTGACAATTACTCTATGAGCTACTTCATGGAGCCTATAGATATGCTTCATGAACAATTTGCAAGATTTTTAGCTGAAGGTAGTCTTTTACAGACTGTAAAGTGGGCTTGCTTAGAGAATAAATAAATAACAGTCCAAATCACTGTATTTCCTCCACTCTCAGGTAACTCTATGATAAAGTCCATCACAATTTCTTTCCATGGCTTCGTTGGTTCAGCTATTCATTGAAGAAGGCCAGGGGGTACTCCAGTTTAGCACTGCTCTCACTTTTCCAGGGTCCATCTCAATTCCCTGATTGGATACTCGATTGCCTAGGTAATCCAGTGACTCTTTGTGGAATTCACATTTTGACAGCTTTACATATAACTTGATAGCTAAAAGTTTTTTCAGCACTTGTCTGACCAGTTTGTTCTTTGATGGTTTCACTGAATATAAGAATGTCA